AATAATTATATAAATTATAAAATCAGTATAAACTAACATCTAACAACATATGCAGCAATTTCAAAGTCCGTGAATAAAAAATCATTCTGATTCTGATAATTAACTTCTGTATCTAATTTACTTGAATGTTCTGGAAACAGTTGTTTTGTGTTTTACAATTGTTACTTTCTGCCTGAGATGTTGCTGCAGTTCAGTGTTCATAGTTTCACACTGGTCTAGACCAGAGCAGAGAGGATTCATGGTCCTTGCATTTCTCCGACACCATCAATACAGTATTTAACTGATAACAGAAGAACATGAATGAAACATTATTTGCCCCATAAAAAGTGTAATTCTTTTTAGTTAACATTAACTGACATTTGGTATTTTCACTTCAGTATACTTCAAACGTTATCAAAGTGCTATGTGGCCTTCAAACACACGTTCAAAGTCGTTTTCCTCTCATTCCCTCCAGTTTTAGTTAGAAAGCCATATTCCTCGAGAGCAAGATAAACGCCTCAGGTTCAATTGTCTCCAGTTGATCTTGAAACCTTGTGTTATTACCACAATTAAAACATACAAGAAATGGCTATTAGTTCACTAAGTATTGAGTGTTGTTTGGCGTCTCACCCAAATTATTATCACACATGATTAGGATGGACTGTGAAATATGGTTCCTTTAACAATATATGGCAGATTTGAAACAATTACAAAGCTCTAAACGTAAACACATGAGGCAGTGCGTGTCCGGCTTTTTTAGTTGATTAATGTAAGAACAAGAATGCTCCAGCCCTAGCAAGACTCTGGAAAAGTGGAATCCTTACTTTGATACATGCAGCCGATAGCTTCAGTCCGCTCTAACCTCCATTCTAGCATTTTTTCCAAAGCAAACCTCTGTACACGTTAGCCCCTAAAGCCTGTTGAATAAATAACGGCTCGGCTATACATATAACATGATTTCTTTATTCGCAGCGAGTGGGTTGTTCAACACAGAGCGGCGGAGGAGAAACTCTGACGATGGTCCTTCACGTGACGTCTGATGAAAACGCAGAAAAAACATGTCATCCGGGAGGCTACGCTGAAATATTAAATTGTGCAACAACTTGTGACAGAAGGGAAGCAGGCAAAGCATAGGGAGTCACTGTCATGCATCTGTCACTTTCACCATAACAGCTACAGGCGATGACAGTTGTGCACAAACAGTATTTTAAAAGGAGTTTAGGGTTTCTACTGTGTAAAAGGTAGGGAGGGGGGGGGGGTTACTATTGTATATCATTGTGTAAAACGGACTGAGAAAAGAGAATTCTTCACATAATTTTGGAATATGAAGTGGTATTGTTATAAAGGAGAAAATGGCGTATCTCTCCATGTCTGACTTGATTGATGAATGTGAATAATAAAGTCCATTAACTTAGATGTTCGGGGCTGGCCGCTCACACACACTTCATTCTGACCCATCCATCATGTAAGAGCAGGGGCTACTCCAGGACACACAAGTGACTCACAACTCGCTCAACCCGACACCGCACCTTTTTAATCATTCATTAGTGCTGCGGCTGGGCAGGTGCTAGTGCTGAGGCTGGGCAGGTGCTAGTGCTGAGGCTGGGCAGGTGCAAGTGCTGAGGCTGGGAAGGTGCTAGTGCTGAGGCTGGGCAGGTGCTAGTGCTGAGGCTGAGGCTGGGCAGGTGCTAGTGCTGAGGCTGGGCAGGTGCTAGTGCTGAGGCTGGGGCAGGTGCTAGTGCTGAGGCTGAGGCTGGGCAGGTGCTAGTGCTGAGGCTGGGCAGGTGCTAGTGCTGAGGCTGGGCAGGTGCTAGTGCTGAGGCTGGGCAGGTGCTAGTGCTGCGGCTGGGCAGGTGCTAGTGCTGAGGCTGGGCAGGTGCTAGTGCTGAGGCTGGGCAGGTGCTAGTGCTGAGGCTGAGGCTGGGCAGGTGCTAGTGCTGAGGCTGGGCAGGTGCTAGTGCTGAGGCTGGGCAGGTGCTAGTGCTGCGGCTGGGCAGGTGCTAGTGCTGAGGCTGGGCAGGTGCTAGTGCTGAGGCTGGGCAGGTGCTAGTGCTGAGGCTGGGCAGGTGCTAGTGCTGCGGCTGGGCAGGTGCTAGTGCTGAGGCTGGGCAGGTGCAAGTGCTGAGGCTGGGCAGGTGCTAGTGCTGAGGCTGGGCAGGTGCTAGTGCTGAGGCTGAGGCTGGGCAGGTGCTAGTGCTGAGGCTGGGCAGGTGCTAGTGCTGAGGCTGGGCAGGTGCTAGTGCTGAGGCTGAGGGCTGGAGTGCTGGCTGGGGCAGTGCTGCTGAGTGCTGAGGCTGGGCAGGTGCTAGTGCTGAGGCTGGGCAGGTGCTAGTGCTGAGGCTGGGCAGGTGCTAGTGCTGAGGCTGGGCAGGTGCTAGTGCTGAGGCTGGGCAGGTGCTAGTGCTGCAGGCTGGGCAGGTGCTAGTGCTGAGGCTGGGCAGGTGCTAGTGCTGAGGCTGGGCAGGTGCTAGTGCTGAGGCTGAGGCTGGGCAGGTGCTAGTGCTGAGGCTGGGCAGTGCTGCAGGTGCTAGGTGCGGCAGTGCTAGTGCTGAGGCTGGGCAGGTGCTAGTGCTGCGGCTGGGCAGGTGCTAGTGCTGAGGCTGGGCAGGTGCTAGTGCTGAGGCTGGGCAGGTGCTAGTGCTGCGGCTGGGCAGGTGCTAGTGCTGAGGCTGGGCAGGTGCAAGTGCTGAGGCTGGGCAGGTGCAAGTGCTGAGGCTGGCGTGCAGTGCAGGCTGGGCAGGTGCATTGAGCTGGCAGTGCTAGTGGCTGGGCAGGCTGAGGCTGGAGTGCTAGTGCTGAGTGCTGGGCAGGTGCTAGTGCTGAGGCTGGCAGGTGTGCTGGGGCAGGGTGCGAGGTGGGCAGTAGTGCTGCTGAGGCTGAGGCTGGGCAGTGCTGTGCTGGGGCTAGTGCTGAGGCTGGGCAGGTGCTGGCAGGTGCTGAGGCTGGCTGCAGTGCTGAGGGGTGCTAGTGCTGAGGCTGGGCAGGTGCTAGTGCTGAGGCTGGGGGCAGGTGCTAGTGCTGAGGCTGGGCAGGTGCTAGTGCTGAGGCTGGGCAGGTGCAAGTGCTGAGGCTGGGCAGGTGCTAGTGCTGAGGCTGGGCTGTAGGCTGAGGCTGGCAGGTGCTAGTGCTGAGGCTGGGCAGTGGTGCTAGTGCTGAGGCTGGGCAGGTGCTAGTGCTGAGCTGGGCAGGTGCTGGGCAGTGGCTGAGTGCTGAGGCTGGGCAGGTGCTTGTGCTGAGGCTGGGCAGGTGCTAGTGCTGAGGCTGGGCAGGCTGGCATAGCTGAGGCTGGGCAGGTGCTGCTGCAGTGCTGAGGCTGGGCGCAGTGCTAGTGTGGGGCTGGGCAGGTGCTAGTGCTGAGGCTGGGCAGTGCTGCTAGTGCTGGCTGGCAGGTGCTAGTGCTGAGGCTGGGCAGGTGCTAGCTGCTGAGGCTGGGCAGGTGCTAGTGCTGAGGCTGAGGCTGGGCAGGTGCTAGTGCTGGGGCTGGGCAGGTGCTAGTGCGAGGCTGGGCAGGTGCTAGTGCTGAGGCTGGGCAGGTGCTAGTGCTGAGGCTGGGCAGGTGCTAGTGCTGAGGCTGGGCAGGTGCTAGTGCTGAGGCTGGTGGGTGGTTGCTGTGAGGTTGCTGTGAGGTTGGTGGGTGGTTGGTGTGTGGTTGGTGTGTGGTTGCTGTGAGGCTGGTGGGTGGTTGCTGTGAGGTTGGTGGGTGGTTGCTGTGAGGTTGGTGGGTGGTTGCTGTGAGGTTGGTGGGTGGCCTGACAGTAGCAGTAAAAGTATGAAAGCTTGTGGGAGGCTTTTTTCTGATTTGTGACCAACAATAATTACAAAAATCATGTAATTTTCATACCAATACAGAACACTCTTTTCTTTGACGTTTTAATGGTTTGTAAAAAGATGCAATAGCTTTAAGGTGCTTTAAGGAGTTCATACATGATTTTTTTAAAATACCTTCATCTACGGATTCAATAACCATGAATTCATAAATGATCTGCCTCACATAAGATTCCAAGCACAGTATTGTGAAAAAGGAGTTTAGTCGGTCACAGACTTTGCTATAATTATGCAGACTGAGACCGATTTTAGTCTCATTTATAAACGTTCTTATTATTTTCGGCTCGTAAACGAATACATTATGTTTGCTGCCAACTATGGGAATATACTATCATAAAAATCGTACAAAGAAAAAGGTTTGAGCTAAAGTTAAGGAGACATTCTAGATTCTAAATTCTATAAAAAAAGAAGATATTTTGGCTAAAATTTTGTATAACGAATCAAATCAAATGTACTTAAAAATCCATAAAAGGATCCAGATGCATTTGTAATTATGGATTTCTAATAGGTCTGTAATTAACTATCCATACATCTTCTACCCCTTAATCCATTTCAGGGTCGGGGGAAGTCACAGAGCACCAGCAATTAATTAATTAATTAACTTATTTTGATAATCGATTAATTGGCTGAATTCTTTTGATTCATTGAGTAGTTGTTTAGTTTGACAAAAATAAAATTCAAATGATGCCCCTCGAGAACAAACATTCAAGTTGATAAAAATGGGTTGATTAGCGATTTAAAAAAAAGCCAATTAGCAAAAACATTCCCATCTATAAAATTATTCTGATAAAGTTTTGTGCAGAGTTTCTTTCCGTCTTTCCTGAATCCTGCCGCAGACGGATGTTTGTGTGTTTTTCAAATCGAAGCCAACCTATAATTTTGAAGCATTTCTCTTTCCACATTGACACAAAAGTTAATTAGTCCTTCAATGTATTGTTTATGGTTTATTTGTGATAAGTGGAGCTGCCCAATTTTTAGTTTATGCAGAACAAACAAGCCAGAACATACAGATCAAGTTTGTGATCTGTATGAAATATTTTAAATTGCACTTTTATGGTGACCCCACTAATAAACAAATGATAACAAAAGCGAGAGATTTGTTTTTATTGTGTAGTCTAAATAACCCCTTGAGGAAAGTAATTTTGTTAATGCAACTGTGTGTGTTAAGCTCTTGTGTGTGTGTGTGTGAAACGTACTATACTGAAGTCCAGATTCTGCTCGATCCACTCCTGCCCATCCTTAAACTCCTCTTGAAGCCCCATGATGAAGAGCGTGTCCAAAGCATCCACTATAGATGCGCCTAACTGGGAATTACCTGAAAACACAAGACCATGAAACAATTGGATTAGGCTCAGAGGACTGCATCAGTCAAAGCAAATCTTTCTGAATAATCACACGGGGAAAATTAATTAAATTGGCACTACTACTACCACAGGCATTGTTCTGGTTCATATCAGCTCCCACTGGTTTCATCAACGAGTCCATTCAAAAGGAGAACATCCCGGCTTCATGCAGCAGCCGCAGTCTTATTATCATTAAAGACAAGCCCCTCTAAATCACTCTAAAAATACACTGCAGGCGGCGGGCAGGCGGCGGGCAGAGGAGATAGCGAGATGCCCTGGCCCCCTGCCTGATCCTGACAGATTGGCTGGAGTGTTGGAGGAGGACAGTGGCCCTCTCCTTCTGTCAACTTTAGCGCCTAAAGGCTCGCTCCGGGTCGTCATCGCAGCATGTCACAGAGAAGGAATATCTGCTGCTACTGAAATACTCCACTGACATAACACTTTAATCTGAACCTGCAAAATGTAACACACAGGAACAATATGACAGATTATGCAAACATTTCAGTTACTATTTCAGTTTAAATGAATCCTTGTAATCCTATCGTAGTAGTGTTGTCCATTCCGTTGTTGGAATTAAATTGAGACCAATAATCGTTTCGTCTTTTTGGCAGAAAATAGCAGTGCAGCAAACACTTTGGAATGATTTGATGATCGCAATCGTCTTCCAGTCAAGTCCTAGTTTTTGCTTCACCGCCCTCTCCAACCTGCATCTAACCTGTTCACTGAAACATCACCCATATTTCAATCAGTGTTTTTTCTTTATCACGCCATTAGTTGTCTGTTTTCCAATCTTCATGCTGTCCCCAAAGCAATGACAAGCCCACATCTGTGTTTCACTGTAGACCTGCTGCTTGGCTGTGTTTCCATCAGTCATAACTCTCGTCATTTGAGGCTGTCAGTGATTTAAATCAAGCACATCAAATGGGCCCGACTTGGCATTTGTAGTTTCATTAGAGCCAACCACGGCTTATCAGAAACACACCGGGCATAACAGTGACGTGGAATTATTGCATGAATGGATTCAATTTGCACCAATCACTTAAACACAGATTGTGAGTGCAAACCTATCGCTTCCCATTTACCGTCATTTTTACATCAATCACACCAGAATTCTGCATTTTGACTTATTTGAATTATTCCGGTATCAACTGTTCTTATTCTGCGGCTTTGGCTGGTCCAGGATGCAGAGGGGTGCTGGTCTGGGGACGGGCTCGTGATGTGGTCAGGCTCTCAGGTGTCACCATCTTTCTCCCATCAGATGGATATGTTGCCACGAAGGAAAATGATCATGTACCATAAGTTTGGACACCCTTTCTCTTTCACTGAGTAATCTTCATGACTTTTGGCTGTAGACCCGCACCAGGCTGTGTCAGGGCTGTTTGACCAATAAAGAGAGTGATGGTGCAGGGCCACATGACCTCCACAGTCACCGGACCTGAACCCAGTCCAGATGGTTTTGGACCTGAACCCAGTCCAGATGGTTTTGGACCTGAACCCAGTCCAGATGGTTTTGGACCTGAACCCAGTCCAGATGGTTTTGGACCTGAACCCAGTCCAGATGGTTTTGGACCTGAACCCAGTCCAGATGGTTTTGGGGCTGGACCAATACAATACAATACAATGTATTCTTGTATAGCCCTAGGTCACAACAGAAGTCATCTCAGAGGACTTAACAAAACCATTGAAATCACCAACACAGGTCAGAGAATCAACAGTTAAAACACATGAAGAATATAAAGCACACACAGAAGAAAATGTCCATACATGTTGTAGAATGCTAAAGTGTCCTGATCATCACCAATCCTTTCTGTTGGACACTAACTGTCCAACAAGACCCTCCTGCATCGACAAGGAAAAACTCTTAAAAAACCCAGTGGGAAAAAGTGAGAAACCTTGGAGGAGAACTAGGGAAACCCACAGGGAGGGAGACCCATATGAGAAAGGGATCCGCTCCTCCGGACGGACAGGCTAATGATCTAGGACCTAAGCTAGCTACAGGACGCGGACCAGTGGACGCTGAACGTGGACAGGTCCGGTGCAGGACTGAAGCACTCCCAGGCGGGTCGGGCGGGGCAGTCCGCAGGTGTAGATGGAAGAGGCCAGGCTCAGAGATCCCGTCATCGTACCATGAAACAGACAATGGGACAACGGGTGAATAGCAATGAACAAACTACAGTCAGAATCCTAAAAATGCTAAACAGATAAAGTAGGAAGGAGGAGAGGATAGTGACCACAGAGTGAAGGGGCCAACAAGTGCTAAACATCATGGGAACTCCTTCAAGACATAATTTCAGTTGTTTCATACTTTTTTTAAAGTACGAACATAATGCCACATGAGTTAATTCATAGTTTTGATGCCTTCAGTGTCAATCCACAATTTTCATAATCATGAAAATAAAATAAAAACTCTCTGAATGAGAAGGTGTGTCCAAACTTTTGGTCTGTGCTGTATGTAAATTGAAGAAGTCAAGGCAAAAACATCTGTTCCTTTAACAGTTTTAGTGCATACATTGGTAAACTGATAATCCAGAAAGTCCATTTTAAAGGCACATATTTTGGGAGCCACCAAAACGTCAATCCTTCTACCGCGACTGAACTCTGACTTCCAGTTCATTGATCACAATCTCACAGATGCCTCTCGCCTCCATTACCAGGCTCTTTCCAACGCTCAGGAACCCTCTCTCCATCTGCCCGCCACTTTTATTAGACGCTGGGTTTCAGAGTCCGTCGTCCTGAATTCACATGAGGAAGGAGAACGTGATGTCATTATTCAGCACTGTTCCGTGAGCCTTAAATTATTTCCAGGCACTGGGAGCAAACACTTTCCACATCAGATCAAGCAGAGGAAGGACAAAGTTATGTTTTTGTATTAGAATATTATCTGTGCAAAGAGTAATCTCCGCTTGTGCTGTTTTGTTTCATGCGGGCACATTGTTTTCCTTGTAGACCATATTGAGAAGCCAGACTAACAAGAGATTGAGGCTGTTCCATTTTCTAGGACTCCCTCCCTCTCTTAGAGCAACTCTCACTTACAGAGCGTAGTGTTGTTTAGAGTCTACTTTGCATCTCATTTCACCAGTCGTAAAACCAAGCCGAGTGCAGTCTTCAGATTCAGATTCATTTATTCGTCATTTGCAGTAAAACCACATTGGAATACATTATCAAAAGTTCCCAGTGTACACAAGACAAGTACAGACATATAACATTTAAAGTACAGAAATAAAACAAATGAAAAAAGTAAACAATGTCACTATGAAATTGACCGACTAAAAACAGTTTCTACAAGTGCAGTATCATTAAAGTGCTCTGTTCAAACTGATAACAGCCTGTGGAAAAAAGCTGTTAGCGTAACGAGATGTCCTGCATCTCAGAGAATGATATCTTCTGCCAGAGGGAAGAAGCTGGAACATGGCTTTTCCAGGGTGGCCAGAAGTGTCTCTGGTCTCTCTGTCTCTCTGTCTCTCTGTCTCTCTGTCTCTCTGGTCTCTCTGTCTCTCTGGTCTCTCTGTCTCTCTGGTCTCTCTGTCTCTCTGGTCTCTCTGTCTCTGGTCTCTCTGTCTCTGGTCTCTCTGTCTCTGGTCTCTCTGTCTCTGGTCTCTCTGTCTCTGGTCTCTCTGTCTCTGGTCTCTCTGTCTCTGGTCTCTCTGTCTCTGGTCTCTCTGTCTCTGGTCTCTCTGTCTCTGGTCTCTCTGTCTCTGGTCTCTCTGTCTCTGGTCTCTCTGTCTCTGGTCTCTCTGTCTCTGGTCTCTCTGTCTCTGGTCTCTCTGTCTCTGGTCTCTCTGTCTCTGGTCTCTCTGTCTCTGGTCTCTCTGTCTCTGGTCTCTCTGTCTCTGGTCTCTCTGTCTCTGGTCTCTCTGTCTCTGGTCTCTCTGTCTCTGGTCTCTCTGTCTCTGGTCTCTCTGTCTCTGGTCTCTCTGTCTCTGGTCTCTCTGTCTCTGGTCTCTCTGTCTCTGGTCTCTCTGTCTCTGGTCTCTCTGTCTCTGGTCTCTCTGTCTCTGGTCTCTCTGTCTCTGGTCTCTCTGTCTCTGGTCTCTCTGTCTCTGGTCTCTCTGTCTCTGGTCTCTCTGTCTCTGGTCTCTCTGTCTCTGGTCTCTCTGTCTCTGGTCTCTCTGTCTCTGGTCTCTCTGTCTCTGGTCTCTCTGTCTCTGGTCTCTCTGTCTCTGGTCTCTCTGTCTCTGGTCTCTCTGTCTCTGGTCTCTCTGTCTCTGGTCTCTCCGTCTCTGGTCTCTCTGTCTCTGGTCTCTCCGTCTCTGGTCTCTCCGTCTCTGGTCTCTCCGTCTCTCTGTCTCTGGTCTCTCTGTCTCTCTGTCTCTCTGTCTCTGGTCTCTCTGTCTCTCTGTCTCTTCTCTCTCTGTCTCTCTGTCTCTTCTCTCTGTCTCTCTGTCTCTGGTCTCTCTGTCTCTGGTCTCTCTGTCTCTGGTCTCTCTGTCTCTGGTCTCTCTGTCTCTGGTCTCTCCGTCTCTGGTCTCACAGCCCACGGTCCTCTTTGCAGAGCGGAGCACCTTGTTTGTTTTAGCAGAATGGTGCTATTTCTACTTAGTTTTTTGCAGGCAATGAGCAGAACTGTCAGATTTTGGTCATATTCGGTAAGTGCCAGAGTTGGCAGTTGGTTTTGTGCAGAGAGTTGGAGTAAAGAGCAAAGGCCTCATCAGGAAAGTGGACTGAAGGAACGATACTGAGAAGGCACCCATTTAAAAGGCTAAATGACTGACAGGATACAAGGAATGGTTCTGAGATCTAGTCCTAAAACAAACCAGGTAGAATTACATGAGTGACACCGAACTGATAAACACATTACACGTTTATGTTGTTGCATTTATAAGGAATACATTATAAAATTCCCAAAAAGCTTGTTTTTTCTTAATTAGGAAACTGACATTTAGCTGATATCGGGTTTTCAGAAACACACCGGGCATAACCGGTCGGTTCGACGTGGAATTATTGCATGAATGGATTCAATTTGCACAAACCAAATAAACACAAATTATGAGTGAAAACCTATCGCTTCACTTTTAGACTGACACTGAAACAACATGATTCGCTCTGAATGAAACTGACAAATATTTACTACGTTTTGGTGCAAACTTATGGTCTAGACTAGAGCTTATTTATACTACCCGCACTAATGTATGGATCATAGGGAGAGACCACATGGTGTTGGTCCATAGGGAGATACCACATGGTACTGGACCATAGGGAGAGACCACATGGTATTGGTCCATAGGGAGAGACCACATGGTATTGGTCCATAGGGAGAGACCACATGGTATTGGTCCATAGGGAGAGACCACATGGTATTGGTCCATAGGGAGAGACCACATGGTATTGGTCCATAGGGAGAGACCACATGGTATTGGTCCATAGGGAGAGACCACATGGTA